TCTCGGAAACTAATATAAAGGCACTTAATAAGCGCATTTAATAGTAATTTGAGAATATTACTAGAGAACTAAAATTCATAAAGCTAGTAAAGAAGTTCTTATATTTAATTATTTTTACGAATGCTTTATTTATAAATAATAGAGATTTTTCTTCCCAAATTAGATATATTCTAGTTCTAGTAAATAGAACTAGAGGTACTAATATTATCTACTAGTTCTTTACTAAATATAAGAGAGTTACCAGAAGCATTCTAGCTTCGGAACTCTATAGTATGACTCACGGTTTTAATATAAGTACTTTAGTCAAATCTATAATTAATAGAGTACTAGAAATAGAACTATTACTAGTCATTTATACGAATTCGAAGTTATTATACGAATGCCTTATTAAATTAGGTACTACTCGAGAGAAACGCCTAATAATTAACGTAATATGCTTCTGTCAGGCATATAAATAATAAGAAATCGCAGAAGTTAAGTAAATTAAGGGAAAATCAAATCCTGCCGACTCTATAACGAAATTAAAGCTATTAAATGCCCTCAAGCGCCTTATTAATACGAATATAATATAACTAGACGTGAAGGGATAGGTTAAATGCGAATAGAGCAGGGAATAAATATATGGGATAGGAGGATATTATAGGAGGGAAAATCACGTGCAAAAGGCCGCGGCCTTTGGTATATAACTAAAACCTCAAAAGTAATATGGATATATAGTATTTGGGAGATCTGGTACTAGGCCAGATTAGGGAATTTATATGTAATTAGAGGGGAGTACTATTTTCTGTTTTTCGCGTTTTTTAGAGAATTTCTAGTATTAGTATAGCTATTCCTTTGGGAGTCACGTGCGTAGTTACGGGACACGGGATACGGGATATGGGCAACGGGATATGGGCAATAGGATATGAGTAATAGAATATGGGATACGGGATATAGTTATATAACCCCGCGTCCTATTAGTAACTCGACCGGTAGCTAGTCCCTATTAGGCTTAGCAGATTTAGGGATTATATATTAATACTATAATACTATAATCCTTACTTCTAAATAATAACTTTACTAACCTTACGCAAATAGCACTTCCATGCCTATATAACGGTGCCATATATTCCTAGTAAACTAATAATAAGCTTAAATAAATATATAATAAAAGTTATAAAAGTTTATAAAAATACTATATTTCTCGTTTTATTATAAATTAATACTAGTTTCGAATAATAAAAGTTTTAATAAGATTTATTTATATATTTTAATTCGAAATAATATATTTTAAGAATAATATTTTAAGAACTTTAAATTTATATTTATAAATTTATATTTTAAAGGTTTTATAAAACTATTCTAATATATTACTAATACTTTTTCTTATTCTTAAAAAAAAATATATATATTATTAATATAGGCCAAATAAAAATTATTATAAAATTTAAAAAATAGAATTACTAGTTCAAAAAACTCATATTTTATTTTAAAAGCTATTTATATTATAAAAGCTAGTTTTATATAAATTTAATTAAAAATATATTAAATATCTAATTTTATAATTATTAATAATTTAGCTAATTAGTTAACTATTTTAATATTAAATAATAAGAAATAATAATTCTTTATTATTATAATATTTAATTAGTAATAATTAATATAAAATTATAAAATATTATTTTTCTTTTTAATAAATAAAACAACTAATAAAAAGAATAATTTAAATAATTTAATAAAGGTTTTTTTTAGGTTTTTAATAAGATATTCTTTTATTTTTCGAGTTTATAAAAGCTTATTTTTATTAAAGGATTTAGTTTATTAAAATAGAGCTTATAATTAAAGAATTAAAACTAAAAAAGCTTATTTATTACTTTTTTTAAATAAAAAAAATACTCTAATTATATTATATAATTATATAAAGAAAAATATTTGAAGTTTTTAAAGTTCTTTAGAATTAAAAAATAAAGTATTACTAAAAGTATTTAGTTTATTTATAATTAAAAAATATATAAAATTACTAATTTAAATATAATATTTAATAAACTATAATATTAGTTATTTAATTATTATAAGTAATAATAAATATTTCTTTAGTTTATATTTTTATTTCTTAAATATATAATTAATTTAATTTAATTACTAGAACTTTTAGTACTTAATTATAAAATAGCTATTTTAATAAAATAAAGAAAATAATTTAGTAAATTATTTATTTCAAATATATTAAAATCTAGCTCTTTCTTTTTTTATTTAATATTTAGCTTTCTTAATAAAAAAGTCTTATATAAAATAAGAATTTTTTTTTTATTTCTATAATTTAATTTTTCTTTTTAGAATTCTAATAAAAGTATTTTCTAAATAATTCTTTTTCTAGTATTTCTTATTAAAATATTAGGTTTTCTAAATAAGATTTAGCTAATTTATCTTATAATTCTCTAGCTAAAAAAATTAGTTCTATTAATAGTTTAATAAAATATTATATTTTATAAGCTATTTTCTTTTTAAAATTATATTATAAAAGCTGAGATTAATAATAAATAAATATTATTAAGTTTAGAAATATTAAATAGCTTTATTAGATTATTTATTAAAGCTTTATAAGAAAATAAGAATTCTAAGTTTATATAAAAGCATTTATATTACTTTTATTAAAAGACAAATATACTTTTAATTAATTAGAATATATATATTTGTTTTAGTATATATTAAATATTAGAAAATTATAATTTTATTTTTTTAATATATTTTATATTTAATAAGAAACTAGTTCTTACTAATTATTTAAATAAAATCTATATATTTTTAATAAAGCTCTTATTTTAGAAAAGCTATTCTTATATTTAAGGCTAGGCTTTTCTTAATTTATTAATATTATATTTCTTATTATTTGCTTTTAAATTATTAATTTTCTTTAAATAATTCTCTTTAATAAATATAATTTTATTAAAGTTAGAATAAATACTTTTACATATCTAGGCTTTTTATATCTATAATAATAGAAATTCTTTAATTAATCTAAACTTTTTATTATTTAATCTTTTAAAAAGCTCGAGATTTATTTTATTTATTAAATTATTATATTAATTATTTAAAAACCTTTCTAGTTTTATTATTAAATAAGTAAACTTTATCTAAAATATTAGAAATAACTTATTTCTTTATTTTAAATACTAATATATTTCTTTTATTTCCTAGTATTTTTATTATTTATTTTTATTATAAGCTTATTAAAGAATCTTAAAATTTTATTTAACTTATTTGGGTTCTAGTTATTTATAAATAGAATTACGGGTATTTCTGGATACTAGTTATATTATATAAGTAATTTTTAATAATTTATTATTAAATTTAAAAAAGTTCTATATTAGTTTATTTTTTCTATTAAATATTTAATTATTAATTTAATAATCATTTTTATTTATAAATAGAACAAGATCTTTAATTCTAATAAGCTATAATTAATTATTATAGATTAAAAGTAAAAGAAAGCTTTAATATTAGCCTTTATATAATTCTTTTAATAATAACCTATAATATTCTTAAATATTTACTTATTTAAATCTTTATTTTATAACTTTTTTTATACTAGTTTGTTTTTATATAAAGTTAATTAATATATAAATAAAATTTCTAGTAATACTTTATTTATTTATTAGCTATAAAGTAATATTTATTAATAAGATTATCTTATATAAGTAATTTCTATTAGGTTTTATTTATTTTTAGAACATTTATATTAATTTTAAATTCTAAGCTAGCTAGGTATTTCTTAATATCTTTTTTTAAAATAGTATTATAATAGATTTCCTAATAATATAAATTTATAATATTAAAGTTTGGGTTTTTATTTTATTATACTAGGGCCTTTTATTTAATATATTTATAATAATAATATTTAGTTCCGGACTATTTATAATAGCTTTAGAAGAACTATTAATTATAGAAATAAATACTAAATAAGTTCTTTTTATTTAATATGAATAAATTATAACTTATTATTATCTTATCTAATTTTAAATTAATATACCGAAATTAATTATTATTTTCTCTAGTTTTAAATTAGTAAATTATAACTAATTTTTCCTATATTAGAGAAAGAAACCAGTTCTTTTACTTTTATTAATATTAAGGAAATATTATTTATTTTAGTTTAAAGTCAAATTCCGAAATTAAATAAATTATAAAAATAGTATCTTTTTTCTTTTATGTTAATAAAGAACTAATTATTAAAAAAAGAGTATTATTTGTTTTAATTAAGAAACAGATTTCGAAATTAATTAGATTATAGAAAATATTATATTTCTAGCTAAGCTTTCTAGTTCTTTATAATTTGAGGAAATTATTAAATATTAAAAATAATATTTTATTTTTACTTTTCAAGAATAAATACGAGTTTTTTATTAGTAATATTATATTACCTTTATAGGCCAAATTAAGTAAGCTTAGAATTATATAATAGCGGAATTAATATAATAGCTAAAGGCTTAAAGTTTAAATAATTTCATGTATTAGGAATTCTAAACTATAAAATAAAGTAAAAAGAATATCTCGATCTTTTAGTATTATTTTACTCAAGTATTTTAGTTTAGCTTTATTTTATATCTATTTTTAATATCTTATTTTTAGTAAATTATATTATTATACTAGCTATTATAATAATTATAATTTTTATTTTATTATTTCAAATAACTTGCCTTATAATTTATTAATAATTATTCTAAAAAATAAAGCAAATAAAAAATAAAAATAAAAAAGAACTTTTATTATTAAATTAAAGTAATATATAAAGTTTTTAATAACTATTATATAATAACTAATATATATTTAATTTATATTATTATCTTAATTTTAAATTCTCGGGATTATATAAAATATATCGAGATATATTAGCTAAATAAATAAATAAGGCCTGCTTTATTTAAAGCAAGAATTCTTTTTAAAAAAAAAAAGTATAAAAAGAGCATATAATCTCAATTACTTCCTCGGGCCACTTATATTCTAGTAGCTCGTTTTATAAGCTATTAAAACTTAATACTTTTAATCGGATTACCTTAACTCTCTAATTAGCTACTCGGTCAATAAGTAAGGATGAGAATATACTGACTTAAAATAGCACACTTCTAGGGACCTGCAGGTAGCAAGTGCTCGCAACCTAACCCGAGAGAAACTTTTCATACTTCCCACCCTCCATCTCTTCAGCAAAGCTCTTTACCGCGCCCCGAAACTCCTCCGCTTCATTCTCCTTGTCATCTGTCCAGAAGGAAACCCAAATATTGGGAGTTGGCATCTCCAGCCTCGCCTCTGTCCTCTTCTCCCCCTCCTCAATAATCCTCATCTCTATCTCATCCGTTGGCATAAGTTGCGGCCTAGGCGGGACCCCTCTCTCCACATACCAGGCCCCTCTGATTCCCCTCCTTTCTACCTCCCTTCCAAACTCCCCTCTATACCCCTCCCTAACATGCCAAGCCGTGATACCCAAAATCTGTGCATCAAACTCCACCTCCCTCCTCTTCGTATCATCCATTAACAGATAATAAACAGCAATCGGAGGAACAGTAATTCGAGACATTAATCTTTGAAGCATTTTCGGCGTCACGCCGCGGAGGTCCAGATCATCGTGATCTGCTTTTAAGGCCCAGCAACCGACGAAGAGTAGGTGGTATGGGTTCGTGGTTGATTGCCGGAAGGAGAAGGAGATGCCGCCTCGTCCGGAGGCGCATTGGTTGAGGATCCATTGGAAGTCTTGCTTAGTTGTTGGGGAGTGGAATGTGTTTCCTTGTTTAGGGTCGATTATGAAGAGCTCGAGGTAGTTTTGGGTCATGGTTTGGTTTGGCTTGGTTGGTGGAGGATGTATTGCTTTGTGAAAGGTGGGAGCGAGAGAAATTTGACTGAATTGATTGCTGGAATTTTGTGTAGAGACGGGATTTAACTTGCAATATGTGGCGATGATGAAGAGGTACTAAAGAAGCTTGAGATATTTATCTTGCTTGAGTCCATAAGCACGGGAAAATGTAAAACGACCCCCAACCCCGCCCCCTTGCCCCGGGTGGCGATTAGGGGTGTCGATAGTGGCTTGTCTGGCCACTAACCCAAAATAGAGGCGCTCGGACAGGAACACCCAGAATCTGGCTTTTTCTTTAATTTAATTAAATTTTATACTTGCTTTATTTCCTTATAGCACTAATTAAGGGCTATTTAAATATAATTTTTCTATATATAACTTTAATTAATAATAGCTCTTTAAATTAAAGAAATTAAATTATTTATATTTTATAACTTAAAAGTCTAGAAATTTAGTAAATAAGTCCCTAAAACCAGATATAAGAACTCTATATACCCCTAATTTATAGGGCTTTATAAGGCTTAAAAACTCGAATCTAATTAATTAATATATAAATATTCTTAAATTAAAATTTGATTTTAAGAATTTTTTTTCTATAAATTAAAAGCATATAATTATAATATAACCTTTATAATTGTCGATTTATCAGGAATGCGAAGCACCGTCACGTAGTCGTGGAATGCTATTTGCATAAGTTAGTGAAGTGGTTAATATTCAGAAGTAAGGATTACAGACCGTGGTATTAATATGCGATCCCTAAATCTGCTAAGCCTAATGGGGACTAGTCTACCAGTCGAGTCATGCATGCGACGCGAGCTCACATAACTAGTCACATGGCCAGGAAATTCGCAGTGCAGCTATTCCGACAATAATATACTAGCTTAAATATTTATAAAAACTTTAATTTAAGGTTATTAAAGTACTTAAATAGCTAGTTATAATTTATTAATATTTTTTTTTAAAAAAAAGTATTATTTTATATTATATTTATTATAATTTTATAAAATATTATTAAAATAATTACTTCTAAATTAATAGCTATTATTTTGTAATTAATAAAAAGTATTTTAGTAATTTTAGTTATATTTTCTTTATTTATTACTATATTTTATTTTATTTTTCTTTTTAGTTTTAAAATTTAAAAAACAAGAAATAAAGAACTTTATATTTTGTTTTTATTAATTATTTTTATTATATATTATATAACCTAAATAAATAAATAATTTAATAATTTAATTAAGATTTATATAAATATAAAACAATTATTAGATTTAGTAATATATTAAAGTTATTACTATTAATAAGCTAGTTTACTATAATAAGAAATAATTTAAAAATATTATACTTATTCCTTTTAATTTTAAATAATAAAAGAGCCTTAAAAGCTCTGTATAGCTTTCACCTTATCCACGACAGGGATAATGATAAGAAGCCCGACGCGTCGTCAGCCTTCCGAGCTCGTACTCCACACACTTCGCAGGCAGCACGTAAGACTTCAAGAAGCTCTGTGAGAGCTCTCTCCTTCATCACCAACCCCCTGAAAGTCTCTTCACCTTTGAAGATGGCGCTGCGCTTCATCCTCACTGCATCAGCTCTCATGCTACATGTCATCGCAGCCCCTCCTCAAACTCAAGCTCCGCTGTTCTCGTCTGCAAAGACTGCAGGCAGCCGTGGTCTAAGTCTAGATAGTGCAAGAGTAAATGCTCCTCACATCTTCAATACTGTCCACTCCTCGATGCGACAATGGGGATCCAGCTTGAATCACAACGGCATGTCGCTCTTTCCCGCAAGAATACCCAACAACACTCACCTCTACCATGGAACACATACACCCAACGCAGTAAAGGGCATGGATTGGCTTGCATTCGAGATCGAACATGCAGAGATGTTCGCTCGAGCTTTCCCAGGAAGACGACCTGGGGGGAGGCCTGGAAAACCTGGGGATCCTGAGCATTCAGGACGTCCTGGCGAACCTGGAGAGGGTCCTTCTCCACCTCCCTTCGAGTTAACCTGGGCAGAGACTGTGGATGGGATACGAAATATATATGATGGCGACGATGAACCGGACTTTTCGAGAGGTTATCTTCACATATACCGGACGACCCGACCTCTTACGAATCTGGTTTATATAGATGGGATGTCAGCCGGGAAGACCACGATGGGAACTCTCGATACACAAGACTCTCTTCTGCGTAATATGACGGACGACGATGGTGGCCCTGCTTTCGGCGATTTTAGACGCGGTCAAGACCTCTGTGATCTTGGAGCGAAGTGGGGAATTGAGGGATTTGTGAGAATGGAGATGGGGTTTGAAATAATTTTCTGCGAGTTTAGCGATGGGTTGGTTCTCGAAAGTGCCCGTGAGAGACCAAGTGACAAGAACCAAAGCTACGAGACGCTGCCCCAGCTCGAGGTACTGAGAGGAGCATCGATGAGGTATCCAGGCATTACGGGGCAGAGGCTGACGCTGGATTACTCAGGCATGGTATCGGCATACTGGTATGACCTTAATCTCACGAATCCGGATCCAAAGAGATTGGATCTGCCAAGGCTGCCAGCTTCCGATTTGGAAGGACTTGGAAACATGAAAGCCGATTTCAAAGCTGCCTTTGAAGAGAGCAGTGCAAGAAGTCATGTTGGCAATGATTGGCAAGGCATTACAGACATGATTATTACCCGCTACTCAGATCGTCTACAACTCATGGCAGGGAACAATACTTCTCGAGAGATTATTCTCAGCGAACTCGCAGTTTTGCTTAATCTCTACATTGACTATGGAAGCTTCGACATCCCGATGGCGATCGAGAAATGCACGGTGCATTACCTGATTGCAGCAGTCCTAGAGACTTCAGCAGATCACATGATTCATGGGGCACTTTCGACCGTTGCAAACAAGATTTGCAGCACTTTGTTCTACGTCGGGCAACTGCTATTAGAAGAAGAGACCGAATCAGGCCTGACGAAGTCAAAATCAGCAATCAAGTCAGTGATTGATTACTTGGATTGGACCACATGGAAAGAGTGTGGCAAGTGTGGATACGATGAAATTTGCTTCGTCGCAATATGGCCGTGGGGCTCAATGGAAGATCACAAGCACCCGAACTGTATGAAGGACGAGATGTTGTCGAGGCGACAAGGATATTGGGACATGGGGGGAGGTGGAAGAAGGCCACCGACCGAAAATGAGACCAGATCAGGAGCTGATGAACTTTGATGATCATTGCACCACTTCGGGATTTTCGTTGACGTTGAGGTCAGACAGGATTTTTCAATGGCTTCTGGCTGTAGTCAAGATATACTTTACATAGATCAATGGTTTTTCCGCCATTCCGTCCATACAACACTGGTCTTTGCCGCGTCCTCAACTAAACCCCGAATCAAATGTTACCACCCACCTTCAACCTGACTATCAATGCTATTCGGATACGTGATTAAGTTCATATGAACATTGCCATCATCCTCAATGACGTGGTCGTGACCATTTCTTTCTCAGAAGTGGGATCTTGGTTCCTCATAGTATGGGACGGTTCCTTGCACGGATATCAGCAGATCACTTCTCTTCTAGGTTCCGTCCCATAATTTCTGGCGATGAAGTCACTGTACGGAGAACCCTCCATGTGCTTCACCTGAGTCCTCAAAGTTTTTGGAATAGCCGGTCGTCTCTACTCCAAACACCAAGAGATGACACAGTAAACCATGCTGCGGCGAGGAACAGGGCAGGAGGTGGTGTGCTGCGCGAGCACGATGATCTTGGCTTGATTGACCTTACAGTAGCGGTGGCGTCACATTCAACAGGTGAGCAGAAGGCAACCATCAACATCTCTTTTTGGTGTAGAAGGAAAATAGTTGCTCTTCTGTACAAGAAATGTCCTTAGAAAGAGTGATACTTCTTTCTTCTCAAATCGTGGGATCGCATCATTGTCAACGGGCATTTCCCCTACATTGCCTCAAAATTCAAGCACTCAGCGAGCTTTCCACGTCCCAAGAAATACGCAAATCACCAAAAGAGAGTTATTCCCTCACATCTTACCCGCACAGCCATGGAGCCACCTGCAACAACTCGGAACCTCAACGCCACCTAGCTAGACATTATAATCAAGGCCTATCAGCAAGACCATGATACCGACGTCCCCTTCACCATTCGCTACCCACTCCACAACCCAACCTGGAAGGGAGATTTGTTCTACACAGTTCCCAAGAAAATCGAGCCCGCCGCCTTCAGGAAAGCTGTCTTCTCCTTGCACAAAAGCAACTAAAGGCTCTGGAAATCCGGGATATGTGGATTATAATATCAGCGTTAGGCCGCGAGAATCCGGGAAGGTTACGGAGGACCCGCATCCCCAGGATTATACAGCACCAGATGAGGAAGCTGCTGTAGAAGAAAGAGGTAGATACTCCCGAGTCTACTCGCGCTGGTCTTGCTAGTGGTTGAGGTGGGGAGATTCGCTGTCTATCTTGGCAGCTAGTGCGAACATACCCTCAGTGGCAGGCCCTCCACAGTGGGAGATGGTGAGGATGACCAGGCACACCAGGTCATTTCCGTGAAGCGACGGAGGAAGAAGAAAGCATTGATTTGGAGCTTCGCCGGAATGAGTATCTGATCTGTTGAAAGGTTAGGAGGAGAATCTAGAGGTGCGAAACATGGAATCATTGAAGTCGCGGACGTGAATCTTGACACTCATTTGGAAGCATAGAGATCTTCTTTCTACAAAAAGAAGAAAGAAGGTGGGAAAGGAATTTCGGTGACTCCACGGGCTTGAAACTTTCAGCTTTGCTGCAGCTGTGGCGCAAAAAGCAACTCGATTCAGGGTAGGGCTGGATTTTAGGCGGTAACCGAGATCCCTAGTCAATGCACACCCCAAGCGAATGCACACCCCAAATTTTCAGCCGACCTCGAGCTTAATTAATTAATTATTAAATAACCACATAATCAATCGGCCTAAAATTGAAAATATAAAGCAATTGAACTAGGCGCATTAAGTTGGCTAATCAGGGTTTTTCATTTTCTAAGGCGTTGTGGTAGAATAATCTCCCTTCCCGATTGGGAGGTCTCCACTATCCCTATAGCTTCAGAATCGTCCTCCTCCACTATTACCGCTTCCTGAACCCCTAAAATCGATAAAATCGAAGACCCTACCCTTAATATTACTATACGAGAGGATTTAGCTTTTTTAGTAGTATTTCTAGCTATAGTAGCCGCCTTTCTAGCTACTGCCCTTTCCAAAACCTCTAATTTATACTTCTCCTTCTTTACTTAATCAGTAATTACTTTTTCCTCCGCCTTCCTTAGCCTCTCTAACTCTTTCTCCTCCTTTTTCAAGGCATTATCTATAGCCTTAGTAATCTTTACATCCTCCTTTACCTTTTGCTTATCCAATTTATCTTGTTCTACCTTTGTAACCCTTGTGACGGCTGGTGTCACATGGTTGATACGGACGTGGTTTCAGCCAAGGGGTTGGTTTCAGCTAAGGTTCCAAGCTATGGTTCAAACCAAGCTCGCTTCCAAAGCTCGGCGTTTCAGTAGTCTTGGCCATACCTACTTATCCACTGCCACACCTCACTCCTTCTCTCCTTAGCTTTAGATTCTGTAGGACATTGGAATCATAGATCTTTGAGCATCGTTCCATTGCTTTGTTCCTGCCGTCACAACCCTCGTATCCTCACGTGCTACTATAGCTAGTACTTTAGCTATTCCAAAGAACTGGGCCTTTCCTAATAGCTCTCCTATTAAATTAAGCTTTTTCCTATAATATCTCTTTTTCTTTTTAAGCTATAAAGCTTCCTTTAAACTCTTTATATAGTACTCTATAATAAAAGCCTTTGTAATATTCGTCTTATCCGCTTTAGTAAGCTTGAGAAAAGCAACCTTAGACGGATTTTTTGCATATATTTTTGGGAATTACCATATATGTTTTATAATATAAGAAATTGAAATTATATTAGAAGAAGCTTTAGGAGAAGTTTACGGTCTTAGTAAAGCAATAGCTAATAAGATAATTAATAGTTAGTAGAGCTATATACCCATCTTCTTCCAAGCGAATAAAATATTTGATTCAGATATACTTTTGTTCCAAGCAGGCTTGAAAATAGACCAAAATAGCCTTTTTATTAAGCAAATAATATTCTTACTAGTATTTAAAACCCTATTAATCTCAGTAGAATAGCAAGTAGAAAATAGTAAAAAATAGCCTATATCTAAGATTAAAGATAGTATATTAAATATTGGGGTAAAATAAGAAGTAGAATTTTAAGCCAATTATATGTCCGAATAAACTCTATATTAATATGGCTAGAGTATCTATCCATAATCAAAAGCCTCCTTCTATATCCTGCTTTCGTACGAGTAGCAGGATTAAAAACTTGGATAAGGTATACCAGGTTCAGGATATTAGATAACTACCTATTTGTACTAGATATTATAGTACGGCAAGCCGTACTCTCCAAAAATCATGTTATTTTGGCGGTTTTGAGGTTTTGGTTATATGGCAGAGGCTGCGGCCTTTTATACGTGACTTACGGGAATTACATAAGAAAGCTGGTTTTTCTATAGTCCTAGAGAATAATCCCTCCTTAATATTTAATTAATTGAGCTTTTGCATACTATATACTGTTTATGCTTTACTATTTGCGCTTTTGATCTTGTTATTTTACTGTCAAGTTACGTTTTATACTCTAGTATACTTTATATGGGTTTTTGTCTTATTATAGTTTCCCTCCTATAATATAAACCAAGCATATTCCCTCTCTTTTAAATTATCTAACCAAGTATCCTAAAGATCCCCAGGAGTTCTTTTATAAATAAGAACCGGTGGAATCTATGTACTATTCGTATAAATGGAAGCAAGTAAGCTAATAAACTCTTGTAAGCTATCCTACTTTACTTTAGTGATTTTTCTACTATTATATACTTCTTTTATTATTATACGCTTTATTATATATATAATTCTAATCAAAAAACCCTTCTTATTCTAATTATATATATTTTCTGCTATAATATTATAATCTTTAATTACTTTAATTAATTAAGTAGGAGAGAGGAATATTAGTTATTTTATTTATAAAGTAAATAAAATATGGGCAAAATACTAAAATTAAATGCTACTAAATTAAATGCTACTAAATTAAATGCTACTAAATTAAAGAAGAACTAGATATAGGGCCCATATTCCGATTTTATTTGCAAATTATTAATATTACGTAAATAAAGGCTCTTTAGGCGAGATAAGTACTAATAAATAAAATCAGCTATTTAATTCTTGCTTATATTACGGCCAATAATCTTCTCTATAAGGTTTCTGACAATTTGCGAGATAAAAGGAAGTCTATGGACTATAAGCTTATTAATTTGACTAATTAAAGCCTCTTCTTGAGTATTAGTAAGGAGTTTGTGGTAGAGGGAGATTGCTTCTTATCTGGAGGTACATATGCCTTTATGCCTTTACATAAGGGTTATACGCTTAATACCAAAATCCCTGGCTACTTGACTGTAATTAGGGATTAATTACGTATCTAGCGTATTAATCGCTTTCTTAATATCTTGTTCGCTAACCATTTTATTGAATTTTGAAGATGGAGGGGTAATATTTTGTAAGGTGTGCATTCGCTTGGGGTGTGTATTGACTAGGGATCTCGGATAAAGGGCCAAAAACCAAAACACTCGAGCACCAAACCACCAAAACCGCGAAAATCGCGAAATCAAAACCACGAATTGCATGCTACTTAAACTCAGGCATAGAGTTGCACTGAAATTATACTTAGACTCGTATTTATTGTTAATAGGGTGCTCTTTACATATTGCAGTAAGCTGCCCCGCAAGAAGCTGCCCTCCCTCTCCTCTTTCCTTCTCCCCCTCCCAAGAGCTGCCCTTTAGAGAGCTCTTTATATATTATAATAAGCTATCTCAAGGAAGCCCTTTATATATTACATTAAGCTATCCCAAGGGAATTGCCCCCCAAGAAGCTCTATATATAGTATAATAAGCTCTTTTCTAGAGAGCTCTTTATCTTTATATATTATAATAAGATATTTCTAAGAAGCTGTGAGTGAGAGAGCTCTTTATATATATTATAATAAGCTGCCTCCCAGAGAAAAGTTATAGGAGGAAAGAAAATAATATTAGTTTGGTAAAATATATCTCAAGAGAATTTATATAAGGCTCCATAAGTACCTTAGCCTTATAATTATTTGAGGTACTCTAGTTACCTTATAAGAAGCTGCCTTGCCTCCCCCCCCCCCCCTTAAGAAGCTATTTATATACCGCAATAAGTATAAATTTAGTGCGATTCTATCCCTAATTTTAAGTAGCATGCGATTCGTGATTTTAGTGATTTGATAGTTTGGTACTCGAGTATTTTGGTTTTTTGGTTTTTGGTCCTTTACCGCCTAAAATCCAGCCCTATTTAGGGTCAACACGTTCACACGCTACGCCGAATGAGTGCAGCTGAACTTGCGCCACGCATCACCTCTCCTATTCGAGAGTAGTCAGTTAATCTACGTCTCCAAACTCTGTCATGAGGCCACGCGAAAAATTGACCTTTGGTTCACCTTCCCAAATTCTCAACAGTTTGGTCCACCTTCTTTGAGCTGCACCGCCCTTCTCCCCTCTACCAAGGTGGTAATCATGGCTGAAGCGTCATCGGAAACCTCGACCACGGAGGTGTGCTGCTCTTGCAGCGACCTTGTTCTTGATTACGTCAGTGATACCTTGGGACATCGAGAGATCCCTTTCGCCAACCTCAAACAAACCGCACAAGCAGGATGCAGTACCTGTGGCATGCTGCTGAGAGGCATCCTAACGCGAGAACAAGAAATCCAAGAAATTGAGAAAGTTGTGCTGTGGTCATTTGGCAAAACCGAGCCCCTGAACGTGAACCTTTGGACAGAAGGCGTTTTGAAGCAAGAGCTTGAATTCTATTGGGCTCGTGAGCAATCCGAAACGGAGGTGCTTGTTCAGCTGAGGTACTGACACTTCTAAAATAGCCGAACATGAGGATCAAAAGAACAGCTTCGTGGACCATAGCCCCAAAGCGTCACCGGCCTGGTCTGTCATTGGAAGAGCAAGGCACATCTCGCCGGATTCATCATCAGAAAAATGTTTCAAACTGGCCCAAGACTGGCTATTCAACTGCGTTTTCAAACACAATTGCTGTGGGGGCTACGAAGACCTTCCTCTCCCAACTCGTGTCCTGGAGCTCTTGAACGATGAATATGCGACACTCTGTGAACCTGAGAGCTACGAGAAAGGCCACTATGCCGCTCTAAGCCATTGTTGGGGACTAGTGGTGCCCACTCGGTTGATGAAAGCCAACTATGAGGACTTGAAAGGGGGTCCCATTATTATCTCAGATTTACCAAAGACATTCCGCGATGCTGTGAAGATCGCGAGCACGCTTAATGTCAGATATCTCTGGATCGATTCTCTCTGCATAATTCAGGATTCGGAGGAAGACTGGCAAGCAGAGGCTGGGAAAATGAGCGCCGTCTACAGAAACGCAGCATTCACCATTGCTGCCCATGGATCTGGCGACTCCAATGGAGGCTGTTTTGTTACTGGAGCGAGTCGGCAACACGAGTACTCCTCAATTCGGGGAACGAATAAGGATGGTGTGGAAAGCAACGTTCACGTTCGTCTTTCGGGCTTCCGAGAACCAAATCGCGACGAAGGCCTCGCCCATATCGCGAAGGGGAATAAGGTCAAACCGCTTCCTAGCAGACTGAGTACGCGAGGGTGGGTATTTCAAGAACGGTTGCTGTCGCAGCGAACATTGCATTACACGGGATCTGAACTTGTCTTCGAATGCAGAGCCGGGCTACAATGTGAATGCAGAGTCGGGATGGATACATCTGCGCACGCAACGAACTTCAAGAGAGAGTTCATAGAGGAAGCTGCAGACACAAAGACGGGTTTCAGGTATGCCAACCAACTAAAACAATCACTTTTTCATGATTAAGCTTTGGCTCAACGATTTAGGTCACCGAATCTCCTCCCACGATGGTTGGAGATTGTGGAGCAGTACACTAAACTTCAACTCACAAAGCAGTCCGATCGACTACCAGCACTCTCCGGCCTCGCGGGGACAAATTGGGAGGAGATCTACTGGGAATCTAAGATAGATACTCCGGCTTACATCTTTGGACTGTGGAAGAAGACATTCCATCGAGATCTCCACTGGCGAAGCGCCGAGCACTGGTCTTCCGGTACTGTCTCTACTCACAGTCGTCGTGAAGAAGAATACGCTCCTAGTTGGTCTTGGGCTTCCATCACAGGTCCCATCGAGTATGAGAAACAAGTCAAAGGGAACGGTTTCGAGCAGGACCGCTTCTTCAAAATCCTGGAAATTATTGTTGAGCCCTCAACGAAGAATAAGTTTGGACCTGGCTCGGGAAGTTTCATCGCCATGTGCTTGATGGTGCCTTCCAAGGTCGTCATGGTGGACCACCAAAACCAGCCAGCATATATCATTGCGAGCAGGAAGGCATTAAAGGGCCGCACGGCATGTCCATATGACACCTTCCACCCGGATATCACAGACGGCCATCCGGAGGTTTCCGATCGTCAGGACTGCTTTTTAATGATTACTTCGTCGGTGACAGAGAACTCTCATCGCGATACCCCAATGGGGTTGGTACTGGTGAAATGTGGTGATTCGTACAAGCGCGTAGGATATCTGCGGTCCGCCGGGTACACAACAGACGAGTGGGAAGAAGGCTGTGAGCTAATGACCGTGAGGGTGGTTTGATCGTTGTACTTGTCCGCATCTACTAGATCTCCAATAGAAGTGCAAACAGCTCAGCAATATCCTACCGGGACGCGCCTGGATAAAGGGGCTGCTGAACGCTCATCAAAAAGGCCAGGCTAGTCTGACCGGTCTTAAGTGTGAAAATCGGTGAGTTGAAGGTAAATAATTTGCTTCAGGCGTAACAATCTGATATGAAAGAGCTTCCCTCACTTACAGTTACAAAGGTATCAAGAATGCGACTTCCAAGCAAAATCACTGAGTCCCAGCAAATTCTCAGCTTAAATTCTGAACAGAAGACCTTGCTCGTTGTTCGAGGCGTGACGGCGAGATGGTTACAATAAGGAACAAGAGATGTTGCAATGTTGAGCTGAGAGCCTCCATACCGTATTATCTGGCGTATATAAACCCCCCCCCTTCGTTCAGGACCACCACCTAATAACAGACCATTTCCAAAGAATTTCCTCAAGTAATAGCTTAATTGGCTAGTTTGAGATAATTCAAGTAATCTCCTAGCAGATTTCCCAGCTAATTCTCAATGTATATAATTTGTGGCACGTAATATCAAGAGCAATTGGTGGTGTGGGTGGGAGTTTAGGAGGGAGAATGGGAGAGAGGAATAAAGGGGTGAGGAATTAAGGGGTAAGCACAACACCATACACTAAGCGGTTTTTAGTGGGATCGACGTATTACTAGACCCTCCTAGGTTTAGGACCATTCTCTGACGAATTATTTAGGTGTGGCACGGGCTACTTGGTGGTTGGGATGAATAAACCCCTGAGCTGTAGTGTGGTTCTAGCAGGTTCTTCTCCATAAAAGGGAGGATCTCTGGTACATAATTGGTCAGTTACCATGGCTGAGGCCAGTTGATAGAAACAGCTCAAGGGTTTATTTATCCCTACCAGGAGTATCCCTTCGTCCGGTGAGACATGTACAACCTCCACGGGTTACTTAATCGCTAATGCATTGGTACCTAATGTCACACAGACTCTCAGTGATGCGCATATAATTCCAAATACCGCGGCAGAGCTCCGACAACGATTCGAGATAACGATCAGTCAGGAACAGGAAGAATTACAACAAAAGTCATGAACTCATCTGCCGAGGCCCTTCTCAACCGAAATGGCAGCTGGGTTTTGGCCGTCGTAGCAGGAGGTGTGGTGATATTGCTCGCCGTGGGTTTGTACTCGCAAGGTTCAAGGTCGAAGTATCCGGTCCCACCAGGACCTAAAGGATCTCCCATCATTGGCAATCTTCGACAGGTGCCAGCGGAGAGATCGGATTTACAGTTCGCAAAATGGTCCAAAGAATTCAGTGAGTTCGTTCAAGTCTTAGATTTGGCCTTGGCAGCGAAGCACGTTATTTCTAATGCATATCCAGAGTCCGACATCATCTATGTCAATCTCCTCGGACAACCAGTCATCGTCCTAAACAGCGTGAAATCGGCTGTTGATCTCCTTGACAAAAAAGGGGCAATTTACAGTGATAGACCGCGTTTTGTCCTGCTGGAAGCGTATTGCAATACCTGCCCCTCTTTCAAAAATCAAAAAAGCCTGCTAATTAGTATTTCTAGCCTCGGTTTTAAGAATAACGTGGCCCTTATTCGTGATGGTGCCCAATTCCGCAAGCTCCGGAAACCATACGGTAGTTTTCTCTCCGCACGTAGCAGCTTGGGGTATCGAGATGCCCAACTGAAGCATGCTCGCGAGATGGCAGACGAAATTGAGAAATGCCCAGAGAAGTGGCAAAGTTACCTCTCAAGGTGCGGTTCCGTGAATAAAATTCCGTGGCACAGGCAATTAATCACTTTCCTAGATTCGCGACTCGAGTAATCTTCAGTGTAGCTTTTGCCATTGACGTTGTAGATGAGGATGATCCTTATTTCAAATTAGCGGATAAGATGGGGTGGATTGTCGGCAATATGGGAAATAATGGGATCACTATTTTGGATATCGCGCCCTGGGGTAAGTAAAATCTCACTGTGGCTTTCGATCAGAAGTGCAGGCTAACGAGTCCCGTTACTACAGTCGAGCATATCCCACGCTGGGTGGGGAAGTTCATTCCTTCCGTTAAGTACGTCCACGATCATACCCCTGCCATTGAGGAACTCCACCAGCGACCGTTCGACGCAGTGATGAGAAGTTTCGTAAGTTGGCCAGGTGAATCACAGGCTAGAGTGTATCTCATGTGTTACAGAAAGCTGGAACAATGGAGCCGTCATTCTTGGGACGCTTGATCGAGGCAAGAGAAACGCACGACGCGGGCGAGGAGGAGGAGGAGGAGGAGGAAGAAGATGATATTAAGAGCTTCACAGATGGCGAACTCAGGGGGACTGGTGGATCGTTGTACTCAGCCGGACAGGAAACAACTTACTCGGCTGAGACGATATTTGTTATGGCAATGGTACTAACCCCCGACGTGCAGATTCGGGCGCAGAAAGAGATCGATGCTGCGACTAGAGGGATACGACTGCCTACTTTTAGCGACTGGAAAACGTTACCGATTGTGGAGAGGATAGTCTACGAGACTTTGAGGTGGGTGAGACTAGAGATAATCTCATGGAAGGAGTTGACAGCTTAACAGATTACACCCCCCTCTTCCAAATGGTTAGCCTTGTATCCCGCCTTTATCTTGAACTTACTTGCCAAACTAATCGGGTAGGGGTTCCGCACAAAACTTTGAAAGAAGATGTATATCGTGACATGTACATTCCAAAGGGTAAGTTATACCTGGGGTTTGGCAGGACACGCGCCACGGTGAATTCATGAGCTAACTAATTTCTAGGGTATGTAATTGACAAGTGGATGGGAATTTCTTGCTTACCGTTTGTAGTTCGATGGTGATAGCTAATGCCTGGGCAATGCTCCACGATCCAGATATTTACAAAGATCCTTTCAAATTCAACCCAGATCGTTTCCTACCAGTTTCAGAAAGTGGTGGTGGTGAGCCAATCCCCGTGGGTCATTTTGGGTTTGGTCGAAGGTAAGAGTTCTTGTAATGGGTTTAATAAGGGATTGTTAACAAGAGGAAAGAGTCTGCCCAGGCCAATATCTCGCATTCGCCAGTGTCTGGATAGTCGTTGCAACGATACTTGCAAAATTCAATATCACGCCGGCGAAGGATAAGGATGGGGAAGATATCATGCCCAAAATGGAGTTCTCGACCGGCATTACTAGGTATGATCTAAAGCTTCTTCGGGACTACATCTGTGTTATTATGATCAACATAGCGGCTATTAATATTAGGAGGGCTAACAAAATTGGTTTCCAGTCATCCAGTACCGTTCCCTTGCAACTTCACACCCAGAAACTGCTTGTAAAGGATCAACTGTCCTGAAAAAGGCAGACACCTTTCTTTAATTCTATTTGGGCTTATTGGGACGGCAATATGACTTATCTTTCGTGGAGAGTCGAGACTGGCGAGTGGGTCAAATCCCAATTCAAGTCTTCATACGAGAGACGCTTCGCAGCTATGGAACGCAAAACTATTAAATTAGCAGGAAACTTTCCCAGGTGCACAGTGCGTAAGCCAGTCTCGCCTGATTCTTAATCTACATGATGAATTAAGAGGAGGAGTCACTTTGTCAGAGCTTCGCTTTAACGTAGGGTTGAAAGGGGTGAATCAGGTGATTTAGCGCAAGCGCTAACAATATAGAGTTTTCTCCTACATCGGACATGTCATCCTCCTCTTCCCTCGGCAAATAAATTGATCTCGACACTCAAAGTGCTGAATGTTGTACACATTTCATCTTCCACAATAGTCACGAGATTTAATTTATAACCAGTCGAGCCTTAATGAAGGTCTGAAAAGTGGGGAAGCTCCGCCTCGTTGTGCACGTCATATCCTTGTTCTCAGCTTATTCGATCGAGCTTCTCTAAGCAGCTGAACATGGTATAGAATTTCTATCTCATAGCCTTTAGATCTTTACAGGATCCCGGTGTTTTGATCAAGCAAACAACAACATTGGCTACCCCTCTTCATTCAGCATGAATTCTGGGAAGGAATTGTGAGCGGTTCAGACATTATGAACGAAAACCCTAGCCTCAATATGAGGGATCAACATCGAAGAAGCAAATGGGCAAGGATCCAAGAAATCATCTGGGATGGCCCTCGCTCAGAAGCAGAGAAGAGACTTGTACAACGGCTTGACATCTTCCTTATGTAAGGATCACCCTTCACTTTCCCCTTTACCCTTGGAATACAGAATATCACACTGATATTCTCCAAAAAAAATTCAGGACTTGGGCAACATATGGGTATTTCACCCGACTGTTGGACTCTGGAAATATCAGTACGCATCTCCATGCGGCTCGGAAATCGATTACTGACTCTCTCAATATAGCCAATGCGTATATCTCCGGGATGAAAGAAGACTTGAACATACATGGCAACCAGTACAATCTCTTGACTACGTTCTTCACTTGTGGATACCTAGTCGGTCAAATTCCATCTCAACTGCTGTTAACAAAATGTATGAGATCCCAAATCAATTTAAAAGTGACAATGATTGCTAATCCTGGAACCGCTAGTCCGACCTTCGTACTACCTTCCAGCTGTGGAATTTTTATGGACAATTATTACGTTTTGTTTCGCTGCTGTCCAATCAACAAAACAAGTCTTCGCACTTCGCTTCCTCATTGGAATGTTGGAAAGTCCTTTTGCTGTTGGCGTCATAACATTGATGGGCAGTTGGTACACACCCAGGGGTAAGTCGAATGACCTCAAAGCCTTTTCTCTCCCAATCAAACTTTCTGGCTAATACTCCACAGAACTGGCAAAACGTATTGCAATCTTTTACTCGGCAAGCTATGCAGCAAGCATGTTCAGCGGATATCTTCAAGCAGGTATATACAAAGGGCTAGACGACCACCTGGGTCTTCCAGGCTGGAGATGGCTCTTCATATTCTGCGGAATCATCTCCTTGCCAACCTCAATCTGGGGTCTATATGCAATTCCCGATAGTCCATACACTACCAGAGCAAGATGGCTGCCAGGGGATTCAAAGCAACTTTACATCGATCGAATGAAGAACATAGATCGGCGGGCATCAGCTCCACTGTCCCGGGCAAAAATTAGAAAAACCTTGACTCACTGGCCTATATACATCATTTCCCTGATGTTGATGTAAGCCACTGCAGACTGTGATAGTTTCGGGAACTGCTGACAGAGTCGACAGATTCCATTGCCTAGTCACTCAGCCTCTAAATTATTTCGCCGTCCGGCTAAAGTCTCTGAATCGGTTCAGTGTGTATCAGATCAACCTGTTCCCAACAGCAGGTCAGGCACTTGGACTTGTGACCACCCTTGCGTATGCATGGGTATCTGATGGACTTGGAGGAAAGCGCTGGCAAATTATGATTGTGCCTGCTGTAGGTATCCGCACATCAAGTTATGGAACGCGCTAACATCATATCATCAACTAGACGTGCAACTTCGTCGGTATGGTAACAGTAGCCTCGGGTGCTAGTTATGGTGCTACATTCTTCGGGTACCTCATTAATGCTGCTACTTGGGGCCTTTGGCCTGTGGTAAATCCCCCTGTCCAAAGGCATCTGGGTCTCGCTGATTGTTTTATAGCTGTATGCTTGGGTCAACGAGATCTGCCACGATGATGCAGAGGAGCGTGCCATCGTGATCGGAGTAGCTCAAACACTAGGGCAAGCTTTCATTGCCTGGGTGCCAGGTATCTACTGCTTCTCGCCATTTCCCTTTCTCTTACTAACATTCTGAATAGTTGTTATACTCAACGTTGGCAAATATGCACCGAAATTCAAGATGGGCTTTACAGTTATGTCAGTGCTCAGAGTGTGTGAATTTGGGATGATCTTTGTGATTAAATATTTTGTCGACCAGGATAAGAAGGCAAATGCCGTAGTTGAGAGTGGCGTGGGCCGGATCGGATCCGATGATGACTCTCAAGTTGTTACTCAAGAGAAATGAAACGCCCCAAGCCAAGGGACAGTGGTCCCAATGAAGACGCAATATGAAACTTGGTCCCTGTTGCTCACCCAACTTGAACCTCCCTGAGACACTTCGTTGCGAGCGCAAGGGATCTGCCATTGATTGGGAAACATAGTTATGCATGCTAATTGGATACGACAGAGGGAAGAAATCAGGAAATTGGTCCCTCTAAGCAGCGATCTCTAACTCAGGGTCCAGAGACTTGCCCTCCTCCACCATCTCCGTCCAAAACTTCTCAATAAATTGCTTGCCCTTACTCTCATCCAGGAACGGTGTATTACTTGTGTCCATGTTAGAGGCCATCATAAACACCGGGAAGATACTTAGACTTACATTTCAACCTTGTTGTGATTGAGGTATCTTCCATGAGTCTCTGGGCCTGCGATCACACTAGCATAGACCAAAGTCCGGCTACCCTCATCCACCTTCCTAGCTAAAACCGCCCTGATAAAGAAGTATGGGACCTTAACCCAGGCAGGAAGGCTTTTTTCGAGGTCCGTTGCAACTATTCCAGGACAAACAGTGTTAACAATAACATGATTGGAGGAGACTACAGTTGCAAGTTTGCGCGCGAATGCATTTGCAGTCAGCTTGGAGTCCGCGTAGCGTTTCATGTTATATGCTTTCAAATTGTCAAAATGACCTAGTAGAGTCTCCGGCGATGTGAACGGACGGTTGGCCAAGGTATGCATGGATTGCATATCCGAACCGATGAAGGAGAGGTGGGATGGTGTTCCTCGCTTGACCGCGGTTGCTAGGAGAAGCGGAAGTAACTCAAGGGCAATGAAGAAATGGGTGTAGCAGTTGACTGTTTTCTTAAATGTTAGTTAACAATTCCTGAGATAGAGATCTAAGGACAGCGATAGAATGTGGCGAGAGACTTGCCTTGCATGACCATCTCGTGGCCGCTCTTGCTGGTTTCATACCTCAAGATATTCATTCCAGCATTGCACAGCAGAACATGCAATTCAGGGACCTCTTTCTTCACTCTCTGAGCAAACCGTAATCCGGACTGGTAGTCTTCAAGATCTAGAAGAAAGGCTTCAACTTTCGCCGAAGGATTGGCAGCCTTCACAGCAGGGTCGGCACGGAGTGCAGATATTGCTTCTTGTCCTTTGGACTCTGATCGCACAGCAATTATGACCCGGGAAGCTTGCAAAGTCAGGAATTGTCGAGCTGTTTCGAAGCCTAAACCTGAATTTCCACCCGTGACGATGACCGTTTGACCTGCCATACTCGTCCTGGCAGGCGTTGGAGGTATTCTTGGTTGACCTACCATGGTGGCGTGTGACAGGATTTATAATAAAACTGATTGAAAGTTCGAGGAAAACTGAGGACAACAAGACAAAATAATCCAAGACTGGAACAGAAGGAGGAAGTCAACATTATAAGGAGCACGGTGCGGCAGGACATTGAGCCGGTCTCCACCCTTCATGGAAATGATATGTTCCAGCCAATCGAATAGACTGGTTGATTCACGTATGGAGAAAGACGGAGCACTTCTAGTGCGCCTGCTGGGGGTCCTTTCGCCTCATGAAGGATCGGCGCAGGGGTCGCGACAGGGATCGGGGGCGGCAAACTGCTAGAAGGGTTCACCAGCCAAACACCCAAACCACTCAACCGCCCACTTTTACCCCTTGTCAGAACACCAAAAATTTATGAATTTTTCAATGCGCTTAGGAAATTCTCAAAACTTTTTAGAATATCGAAAATGCACCAGAAAGTCCGATTCTAACGTTAGTTTTTCGAAATTGAAGTGCTGTCGTGGCCAAATTCGGGTTTGAGCAGTTGGGTGGTGTGGGCGTTTGGCTGGTGCACCCTTCTACCGAGCAGGGTTCGGTCACGCTTGCAGGGTTCGGTGACAAAAGAGCAGCTCCTCCCGAAACCACACTCCCATTCACATCCTCCCTCTTCGCAATCTTCAGCTCCATATGGATTTCGGCGCAACAAACAATCCGCAATCGGGGTTAGCCTCAATGTCTTGCTTGTCTTGCAAGGAGCGGAAACAGAAGTGCGATAAAGCAGTACGTTGCTGCTCCCGCTGCGAAAGGTAGGTCCTCTCACTTCATTTCAATAGTCAGCTGATGTCATTTGGCAGACTCCTCTTGAAATGCCATTATCCGAAGCCCGCAAGCCCTCCCAGCCCCCCGCCTTCTTCAAATGGGTCCAATGGATCCCTGAAGGGCAACGAAGCCTTGATCCAGGGGTTCGCCTCTATTGCGGCCCGTGGTCAGGAATACCATGGGCAGGTTCTCAATCTGATTCTAGAGCACAGGCAGCACTTTGAGGACATGACAGTCACCTTTTTCAATTCCTATCATAAGTGGGTTCCAATAGTGCACCGGGAATCGTTTCGAGAATATAGGAATGCAACCCGAACGGACATTTGCCGGGGACTTACTACTCTAACATTGAGCATGTGTTTGATAACGCGGCCTTTTATGGATGGAGAAACACCAGACCCACTAAGACTTTCTCTACACAAGGCATTGAGCCGCCTATTTTGGGATCCGGAGTCAATAGCTCAACCGACCTTACCTTTGATCCAGTCAGGAGTAATATTATCCAGCTATGAGTACGGACAAGGCACGAGCGATGCAGCATACATGATCATCTGCACATGCTTGAGCATGGGCCAAGTATGCGGGCTAGGCAAGCCACCTCCAGGCCATGATCAAATCCAGTACCCATTTCCAGGCATTTGGACTCCGCGAGACGAGGGTCTGCGGACATGGTGGGCGAGTTTAATCCATGAAAGGTCTGTCAGTCGTTCCTCATGTCCACTTCCAGACCAGGACTATATTCCCTTGAAGCTGACTTTCTCTTTTTAGAATGATCAGTTTGAAGAACGGAGCGTTGATTCGCCCACTGAATATCGAAACCGTAGATACCCTTGATGTCGCGGCCAGCTTGGAAAATTACGATCTAATTTCCATTTCATTCTACTGTGAGGCACGAGCCGCCAATTTTCCAGACCAGGTCTTGGATCTCATCCGCAATGGCAGCACACACTCTTCGAAAAAACAACTAACCTTTCAATCTCTGGACCAGAGGCTTCTTATGTTCCTAAAGTCCCTCATTGAACAGCATCTAGGCACGTGCTGTGAAGCGGTTGCTATCAGCGTCAGGTAATCTCGCAACGGCCAAAAACTCTACACGTCGCTAAAATGTGCACAGCGCGTTCGTTCACCTACATCAATGGCGTATTGGTTCCACCGACTCTGCTTTCTCAGCCCAAGACCGGCTGGAATCTTGTGACGCCATTGAGGCGGTGATAAAAATCATAGCCAACACAGGGACGAGCATACCTCAAAACTTTCCTTGCCAGTCTCAGTACTCAATACAACTGATCTATCAGCTTTCGGTCTCAATCCGACATCTTCAACAGAATGGCAGATCGCACTTGGAGAACTGGGCTAAACTCTTGGTGGTGATGCTGGAGCACCAGCGAGTGAGATGGAAAATTGCAGGTTCGCAATGCCATGACTATCTGATTGCATTGTATCAGCCAATAACTTCAAATTTCAGGTGAATACTTATCAATTCTTGCTAGAAATTGATATCAGGGAAAGATCGACTCTGCGATCACACATATGGCATCGTCTCATTCTCGCACCATTCATAAAACTCCTTTGCAATTCCAGTACCTCCTTCCGCTTCCTCTTTGAGGCCTGCAGTGACATTCTTCTCCAGATGCCCGATACGACCCCATGGAACGATGTAGCCACCATTTGTCTGAGAGTTTATTTCGGGGTAGAGCCCGGCGAGGAGCCCTGTAGACGCACCGAATATCGGCGGGTGGAGGAAGATACCCTTCTTTAAGTTAGTTTCAATGAAGGGTAAAGGAGCTGTATTGGGTTTTGGAAGCCTACATTGAATGTATTCTCAAGACAATTCGCATATCGCTGGAAGGGCAACCGAAGGTTTCGGGGGTTTAAAGTCTGGAGGGGACAGGTCAGCATAGTGCGTTTCTAGTGTTAGAAAGCTTGTGCTGTATCTTACCACACCAATCAAGCCCTCGTCCTTGGTCCAACGTGCAAATTCCCAACCATGGCTATATAAAACACACTGCGAAACTCCCTTCTCTCCATTGATGTCGTCGAAATTGATCACACCTTTTGGTACACTTGCTTTTGCCATTAGTGAAGAGGTCCAGTATACCCTGACCGAGCCTGTGGAGATGTGGCAGCATTCTTGACCAAGGTTAGTCGCAGGAGTTGAGTGAAGAAAAACGGACCCAGACAATTGGTGCCGAGTTGAACTTCGTAATTTTGTTCGTCATCGTGAGGTTGACCTAAGTGGGTAGTGGAGGAATGCTCGGACGAGATGCTTACTTGTTTTTGTTTTGCTTCGTGCAGGCGGTCTCATAACGCCAGCGTGTTCCAATTGACATCCAGTCTGCTCTCTGGATAAAGTTCTTTGCAAATGTTGAAATCGTGGAAAGATCTGCAAGGTCAAGGAAGAGAAATTCTAATCTGCAGGTTGAAGGGGGTGCATTTGCTCGGACAGGTTTAATCTCTTCGTCGCCTTTCCCTTTTGTTCTCCGTGAATTTTGAAGCAGGCGGAACGTCTGACTCCGTTTTTGCCCTATCCCAGCCATATTTTGATGTATTCTCGCTAATTGAATTCAGTTTCATGAAATTGGTTTTGTAGAGAGACAGCCTCGGAGTGTGGGAATACGGATCAAGAGTCCGAGGAAGTGCGAGAAGGGAGTCCCACGGCAATATGGAGGAAGGACATAGCTCTCGTATTTTAGAGTTATAGGTCGACTAACCTTACTTTATTGAGAGCCTGCTCACCAACAGAGATTGCAGTGACTTCGGGATCGGGGTTGAGTAGGTTTTCCATATGAAAACACCAAGTCGCGCCATCCTTCTCCTCCACACGGCCGCATGTGTGAAGCGGCAGTCGAGGCGTGACCGCCTGGCGGTGTTTTCGGAGCCAGGTGTGGTATTTGAAGCACAGCAGCGGGCGCCTGCTGTTGGGTGGCGAGAGTCGGAACATCCGCTGAAGTCCGTTTACGTGGGTCGACTAGCTATGGGAAATTGTAGAGATACTGCCTAGTTTCAGCTTACGAGGTTATCTGGTCTCCCAACTAAACTTTCCTTTGAATTGGGCATCTTCAGCTCCTGAGAGCATAACATCCAAAGGTTCAACTCACGCTGCACCTTTTTGGCCTCCCCCTTTTCTAGCGCTCGGGCCCACTCGCTTAGGAGTTTGAAACCCTTTTCTTTGAAAGACGTCCTTAAACCGAGTTCCTTTGGAAGTATTTAGTGATTTATTCGCTTGATAAGGCTTCTCAAATGGCTCCTTAAATTTGGTATGAAATGCATTTACACGAAAACGCTGCGAGAATGGGCCTCAAATCGGGTGGCGACTAAGTCATACCCTTGCACCCGATCTTTTCTTCTCCCCAAGAACCGCATTGATACCACAAGAGCGTTAGTTGGTTATATCTCCCTCGTCACCAGACTCACCTTTCCTTTTAGGCTGAGAATAATGAAGATACGCCTGAGATTGTGGGCCCAAAGAGGCAGTGCCCCCATCCGCCCACCCCAGTATGTCAAATACCCACATCGCGTCATCCGAAACAGCAGCCAATGTTTTGCATTCTCCAAGACTCTCAATGAGGGCCGGCATAGTCGTTGAGCTGTTTATATCCATTATTACTGGAGGGTTTTGTAACGGGGGGTTGGAGTGCAGTGGCAAGTGCACTTGACTCCCAGCCCCCTAGCTGCCTTAGGCCCCTAAGCTTGGCACCTTTCAACATATACTTGGAGGAGATCTGGAAATTGGGTAACATTTCAAAATTCGTGTTCGATTATCAGTGAACAATGGAAGGAAGGCCCAATAGAGGCTACTTTGGCATTGCATTAGGTTACAACATTTGAGAAGAACCGCTTTTTACCTCTCCCTTTTAAAGTTGATCGACCGCTTGATACTTCGAAATTCCAATCTTGCTTTGAATGTGTCCGATGTATGCTTCGAAGGCACAGATTTCCTTTCCCCAATTTCCACATTCATGAAGTATCCGTACCATTTTGGTATAGAGGTTTAAAGCTTCCTCGTACTTACATATCGTGTAGTAGCAATATCCCAAGCAGTACGCTGTGGACAGTGTGCTTTTATGACTGCCGCCATAAAACCCTATTTTTGTCTCAAAAGCCCTTTCATTCCACGTCGTTGCCTCTTCGATCTCGCCAGTTTCAATGAGGGCGTTGGCAAGCCCACACCAAGGATTCACTTGGGACTCATCGATTTCTCCTGCCCTTTCTACTTGGTGAAATATCACAGCTCGAAATAGTTTAATGCTCTCCGGTAATCTGCCAACAGCTCTCATACTCCAAGCTAGTTTTTCTCGGGCTCTCCAAATAGTAGGATGTTGATCACCCAAAGGGAGAGAGAATCTTTCCACTAACTTCGTCACCAAGTGATAACTCTCTTCATATGCCCCTCGTAGGTGGAGGTTGCTTGCGACGAATTGCAATGCCCGACATGGCACTTCATCGACCGGTGGTAAATCAAAAGAAAGCTGTGCAGCTAGTCGTAAGAGAATATCGGCCTCTTTTGGAGAGTTTCTATTAAGCTCTCCACCGAGAGAAAACATAGCCCGAATGGTATGGATTGATCTTGGTCCATGTGCTGATAGCATTATTTGAAGGTGTTGTCGGTAATATTTCTCTGCTTCTTCCGTCCTCCTGTGCTCACTACAGATTTTCGCATGCGTAAAGTTTGCTAAGACGGCGAGAGGGTGTTCCCTTTCGAAAAGGTTTAATACTGAGGATCGCAAAGTGTGATACACGCTCTGTGCTTTCAAATACTGGCCTTGGGCGAGAAGGGACGTAACCATGTGGAGAGCCGCCTGCAGTGTCCTGCCGTTGCTGGGCCCAAGGACCCGGAAGTAAACATCGGCCAGCCTTTTTTTCATTTGCTCGGCTTTTCGGTAATCCTCGAGTCTGAAGTAGAGAGATGACAACTGTTCCATCAAGACCATGACTGCTGGGTTGTGGTCTCCAAATTGCTCCTCAAGCTTTGTGAACTTCGTCTCGAGCTCTGACGCTTCTGCTGTCAGAGAACCCCACAGGTTCACCACATTGGCCTTTTTTGCCCGCAGTGGTGCTTGGCAAGGTGGGAAAACATATATTTCAGTTAACGGACTTGTTGACTTCCCCAAAAAGACATTGTCGATGTCACGCCAAGGATATTGCGGAGATTTGTACGCAGTTCTATGCTTGCCATCCTGAATACCCGTCCTCTGGAGGATTAAACATGAGTTGATGTTGTCGATCGTCGTAATTGATCCGTTGCTTGACATGTCTTGCAACTCGGAGTTGAGTAAACACGGCGAGTCTTCAGATTCTGTCGGATTCGAAGATAAAGGTTGACCAGGGGCATAACATTCGAGGTGCAAAGCATTGAACAATGGTACTAGTCCAGGCAATCCGTGGACATCTACCTTTGACCAGTCGAAGGGTAAGGTATTTTGGCGGATTTCCAGGAACGAGATGCCAACTGAGTCTTTCTCTCGAATCTCATTCAACCCATCAGAATTCTTGATCGCGGAAACGTTATTGTCATGGGACTTTGCCTTTTCTTTCAGTCCCGTGGATGCTTCACGACTGCCAATAAAAAGAGACTCTTAGAATGAAAGTCAGTTGATCCTTCTACTTCTGAACAGTACAATTGGCACTTACCCGGTGAACTTCTTCCTACCCGGTTCAAGGAGCAACGCCCCATTTGAACTTCATCTCGGTACCTCCTCTGCCAATTCTTCAATTTTTGTGGCTTCAATCTGTGATCTTTGACATTGGACGTCTCCTCCGAACCCTTGAGAATTCTCTGCAAAATTACACGCCGTTCGCCCCTTGGTATATTCTTTCGGAAGCCCCACTCAATAATCTTTCGAGAGAATTGACGCTTTCTAATATCTCAATTAGTAGTTCGCATCGAAACCAGTAGGCATGGAGGGGATTTGTCTCACGTTGGCTCAAAACCATGATCTCTTCGAAGCACCTCCGCGAGATAGGGAAATGGTTTGTTCTCCTGGATATACGTTTGTTCAATGAGGGGCTTTAATTCCTCCCATTGCTGCCGTGGCATTGCTCGTATTCCAGGATTTACAGACACTTGTCCCTCATTCGGCACAATCTGAGATGGACATTCCAATAGCATTGCCATGTTGATCGAGACGGGGCGCTGGCGAGGCTGCGGAAAAAATGTGGGGTTTAGAGGTGTAAATACTGAGTTATTAGCTCTGAATATTAAAAGTCTCGCTTCATTCACTGGGACACAACTGGTCCCCAAAGTATGATGTTGAGTGATGAAGATGAGTTGGTCAAGCTGCCAGAGAAGTAAAGCAGAAATAGACCAGGCTTCCTTGGATAATTGGTCCTCAAGCGATTGGGTGTGGACAAAAGAACCCTGTGGCTTGGTCAGTGGGGTGGCGTGTTTGGCAAACGTTCGTATTTGCCATTGGTTCAGAACAGAGCCAACGTCTGCAGTAGACAGCGCAGCCTGTCCTATCAACGGCCAGAAAATGAAACGATTCCACGGCATCCTCGTCTTATTAAACCCTGCGTTTTTAAATTTGGCATTAGATGGGGCTGCAGCGGGGATGATATGCCTGAACTCCAAGCCTGGTTCCCTACCAACTTGCCAAGTCGTGGAAACCCCTCCACTTCCCGCCCTTATTTCCTGTTCCTCCACTTGATTGAACACGGCGAGTACTCAGGGTGGAAAGATACACATGGATACAGCTAGAGCGTGTGAGACGGTGCGACAAGCCCCCAAAATACAAATTGCGACGTTGATCCCTGTGACAGGACAACTGGTGCGAGTTGGCCCCAACGAACTCATCACCGGCGATCCACATATCTTGCGAAAGATCCTAACGATCCGATCTGCCTATCGCAGGTCGGATTGGTAAGATGCGTTGCGAATTGACCCTACTCACAACAATGTGCTCTCCGAGAGAAATGACGAGAAACACAATGCGCTTCGGGCGAAAAATGGCGGTTGAAATGTGTCCCGTGCGACCGTCACGCTTGGCAGCTGAAAAAATTTTGACTCAGAAAAAGAAATGAAAGTAAGAATAGGATAAAAATCTAGAAACCCCCTGAATAATATATCTCCTCAACATTATCAAAATTTCGGCTTTACAATCTCATTCAAGATGAAGTCCTCCAATTATATGGTCACGGTCTTGGCTTCTTTCTTTAACCGATTATTCTACTGGATTCTTCGAGCAATTATGCATAGCATTATGTCTCGCCTTATAGCATCCATGGTTTTCTTCACCCTAAAGCGATTTGTTTCCATCAATTATCCTCTCGTGGTAAAAACCCTTATAATCATGTTTCTTTGTGTAGAGCCGGACTTGCCGCAACTGGCAAGTTTAATTTATAAGGAAATTCAAAGAGATGGACCTCCGAGCGAGGAACTCAAGGACTTATGGAGCCTTGGATTATCTACATTGATTTATCTTCCTGTGTCTTTTTTCTTCAGCAAGCCAATCGTTTCGCTTCAAATGTTGTGGCTCCATGTCCACTACTGGACTTGGCCGCCGTTGATCCTATGGTGGGCTCGCTCGCCTTCAGTAGCGGACCGAAGAAGACGCTGTGGTCAATTTTGAAGCAATTGTGGAATGAAATACTCTATATCGTTGGAATCATAGATCTATCATCTAAATATCGAGAATGGCTAGTCGACAGGTTCTTGGCCCCGAACTATCCGGAATATAAATACGGAGCTCTGAACGCGCCGGATCAAATTAGGCTGGTGCAACTCAGACCGACTTTCCTTGGAGGAATACAGTGTGAAATCATTCAAGTGCGTTTGCATGACGCTCTTGCGTACGACGCTATCTCATACACCTGGGGCGATCCTGCCAAAAAATTCAATCTCAAACTGCAAGATGGTCAATATCTTCCAATAACTTCAAGCGTACACGATATCCTCCGCCAACGAGCCTCCATATTCCGCACTCGAAATCTCTGGATCGACTCGATTTGTATCAATCAAGGTGACACGCCCGAAAAGACCTCGCAGGTACTTCTTATGCAACAGATCTATGCAAGAGCATCTAGAACTGTCGTTTGCTTGGGTGATTCTTCTGATGCTGGGGTTGCAGTCAATTTCCTGTATGAAATGTACTTCCGTTTACTATGTCTGATCGCCGAGGAAGGCGATCTGGCAATTCGGAAGGATATCGATGCGCCCAACCCAAAATGGACAGCAGTACGACGGCTGCTCTACCACCCATATTGGTCCAGAGTCTGGGTTATTCAAGAGGTTGCGGTAGCAAAAGTGGTACATATTATCTACGGTGGAAGATACATTGACTGGGACCTCTTTGCCACAGTTATGCGTGCGCTGGAATCCGAAAAGGCCGGTAGTCTCGAACAGATTATGGATACTTCAGAGAGCGGAGGCGCAATGCCCCGTGGTAGAGTTGAGCAGGTCTGCACAATGGCAAAAATAAGGGACAAATTCCAGCAAAACAACAAAGCCTCTCTTCCACAAACGTTAGTAGAGTGCTGGAATTTCGAAGCTACAAACGCCAGGGATCGTATATTTGCCATTCAAGGAATCACAACAGCAGTCGATGAACGTGCGCTTGAACCGAACTACGACTCGACAACGCTAGAGGTCTATATGGAAGCAGGTCGCTACGCGTTACTCTCTAAAGAACCTTTCTCTCTCTTCTCATTTGCCGGGATGTTGCGACGTGGGGATCTGGGTGAACTGCCGTCCTGGGTACCAGATTGGACTTTCAATTCCCAGCTCCGCCCACTGGATCAGATCACTGCTTGCACCAACTTCCGAGCAGGGGGAACCGGAACGGCATGCATTAGTCCATTACCAGACCGTCGTCAGATCAAGATAGAGGCCATAGTGCTCGATCCTGTGTTCCGAGTAGCCACTGTAATGCCTTTATCTACGGATTTGCCCACCTGTGGGAGTGATACTCCCTGGACCCAACCAGACATCAAGGCCTTTGCTACCTCGCGTGACTCTGCAAGACGGCAAGAGGCGTATCAAATGGCGGAGCAGTGGACCTCGGATCCATATATCAATGGACAACCGAGAGCGGAGGCATTGTGGCGAACATTCATATGTGACACCTCTACCACATCTCGACCTGCAGAGCCAGAAATTGCCGAAGCTTTCACAGCCACCACGAGAATATCATCACCAGAGGCCTTAGCGGCAGTTGAAGTGATTGGCAGAAGTTCGGGTCCCGAGTTGATACAGGCGATGATAACGATGATGAAGGCCTTGAAAGTTCCGAGGACCTGTTATCAGGGCTATATAGCCCTGATTCGGCTGAACAGCTCCAGGCGGTGAACAATTGTACTCAGTTATTGATGCAAATAATATCGCTGGAAACATCCACGCGGATGGGTCTGCTACTCGCGCGTGGGATCGCGCAGAGGCAGTTTGCTGTGACCAAGAAAGGGTTTATGGCGCTGGTCCCTCTGGGAACGGAGGAGAGAGATCAAATCTGCATTTTCCCTGGATGTCGGATGCCGTTTATTCTTCGTCGAGATAGTGTAGGTAATGGAATTCAGGGAGGAGATCAATGTTATCGACTTGTCGGTGAGGCGTATGTCCACGGTTTTATGGATGGCGAGGCGCTGGTATTTGGTATGAAGCTCGAGTTTGTCGTTCTGCGATAATGTATAGCAAAAGCGCAAGCTTGTTTGTGGCAATAATAGTAAAGAGAATGGGTGTCCGTTTATTATTAAGGGTCGGATTTCAATAGTTTCTTTGTTTTCTTTAATATCTGAACGACAATTGGCCAAAAGAGGGCACCTGGAGTTTAGTAGGTGTTTTTACATGCTTTTAGAAGCTTTAATATCTCATATCCGCTCAGTAATACCAAGTATTTATATAGCTTTCTATATATTAATATATCTTTAATAATAACGAAATAATACGGAACTAGTAGTTTTATATATTAAATTGAGATTATATGAAGCCAGTATATTAAAAAGAATTAAAGTAATTAATTATATTTAATTTAATTATTAACTTTTTTAAAAAAAATTATAATTAAATATAATTAAATATTTCTAATTATTATATAAAACCCATATAAAAGTTATATAAGTAATAAATTCTCTTTATTTTCTTTAAATAAAATAAGCTTTAATTTTATATTATAATACTTATATTATAATTATATTTAATACTACGTGACTCAATAACTCATTATATTTAATTTAATTAAATAATTAAATAATTATAATTTAATTACTAGTTAAGAATTATAATTAATTAAATTAATTAATATATTATATAAAGTAATATTAAAAACTTTTATATTTACTATTATAATAATTAATATATTAAAAAATAATCAAATCTAATTAATTAGAATTAATTAGCTTGATTTTTATTATAATTAATTATAATTATTATATAATAATATAAAAGTATTTTTTTTTTAGGTATTTTTAAAAACTATTAAATAATTAATAGCTATATTAATAAGATATAAATAAAATCTATAAAGTATATATAAAAGTATAAAATTAGTCTAAATCTAAAATAATAAACTAGTTTTTATTATATAATACTAGTTATATAGTACTATTATATGTAATTTAGTATATAACTAGTATTTCTTTAATCTAGTAAATAGCTTAATTTAAGCTCTTTACTATTATTATAATATTATATTATTTTAATAGTTTTCTTTTTAGAAATCTCTTTCTCTTTTTTCTTTTTCTTTTTTTATTTTTTAACTTTTTCTTCTTTAATTACTCTAAGAGTTTATTTATAGTTCTTTTATTAATAATAAAGAATTATTAAAAATCAAAAAGGTTCTAATATCTTTAGCTTTATTTATTAATTAGTACTAGGCCTAGTTTAGTAAAGAGTGCCTTTAATAATACTAAATATAGCTGGCCTAGACCTTATTTTAACTTTATTTTGGCTTTTAAAACTCTAGAATTATATATATAATTAAATAGAAATATCTAATTAAATTAAATCTAATTATTTAATATACTAATAATAATATTAGTAATTTATATTATTATAATTATTAATATATAATTATTCTATAATAAAAGCCCTAAATAGCTATTAATATAACTGTTTTTTAGAAGTTATATATATAATTACGGGATTCGAAATATAAGATATAAGTAATAAAATATAAATAATAAAATATAGAATATAAGATATAATTATATATTAATATTATAATACTATAATTTTTATTCTAAATATTAAACTATTTTATTAATTTATATATTAAATATTTTATATATATTATATATTATATTCTATATTTCTAATTAACTAATATTAATTAGTTAATATTTATAAATTAGAAATAAAATAGTTATATTAAAAAAATATTATTTATTAATTTTATAAAAAAGTATTTAATAGCCTAAAAGAAAAGACTTTAGTTTTTATTAATTAATAAGTAATTAGCTATTTATTTATTTAGTTAACTTCTATTATTCTTTAAAACTAATTTCTTTTAGTTCTAAAACTACTTTTTTAAACTTCATTTTTTCTATTTATATAATATTTGAATTTATAAAACTTTCTTTCTAAAATATATATTTTTAAAGCTTTTTAATTATAACTTCGATTTTATTATTAAATCGAGTTTTTTAAACTTTAAATTCTTCTGGAATTATAATTATTAGTATAGCTATTTCTTTAGGAAATATATATATATAGTTATAAGATATAGGATACGAGATATAGATAATAAAATATAAGATATAAGATATAGTTATATAACCTTATATTCTATAGGTAACTCGACTAGTAAACTAGATTCTTTTAGGCTTAGTAAATTTAGGAATTATATATTAATACTATAATATTATAATTCCTATTTCTAAATAGTAATAACTTTATTAATTAATATAAGTAGTATTTCTATACTTATATAATAGTACTATATATTACTAGTAAACTAATATTAATTAATTTATATATAGATTAGAGAAGATTTTAAACTAGTCCTAAAAGTATTTGGTAGCCTAAAACAAATCTGGTCTATTCTATATTAAAGAAAGAAACTATTTATTAACTTTATAAAAGTATTTAGTAGCCTATAGAAAAGATACTAGCTTTTACTAATTAATAAATAATTAGCTATTTAACTATTTAACTATTTAACTTCTATTATTCTTTAAAACTAACTTCTTTTGGCCCTAAAACTACTTTTTTTTAGAAACTATCTTTTCTATTTATATAATATCTATATTTATAGAATCTTTTTTCCGAAATATATATCTTATATATATTTTTAAAGCTCTTTAACTACTACTTCGATTTTACTATTAAATTGAGTCCTTCGAGTTTTAGATCCTTCCGGAATTATAATATTTTTCTTCCTAAATTTCTTATTATAGACGAAATATTTAAGGGCAAAATATTTACTTTAATATCCTTACTAGGTATCTGGGTATCTGGTATCTGAACCAGGTATCTAATATCTAAACCAGGTATCTGGTATTTTAACCAGGTATCTGAACCAGGTATCTGGTATCTGAACTAGGTATCTGGTATCTGAATCAGGTATCTAAATACTTTTATTACTAAACCCTTTCTATAAATCTATTACGAATTACCTTATCTTTAAATCCCTTTTACTATAAACTATATATATATATATATATATATATATATATTAGAGAGAACCTGAATTCGGTTTAGTATAGATACTAATAAGAGAAAGAAGCTAATTAAGAAATAGAAGAATAGTATTAATTCGGTAATTATAATAAAGGCTAATCTTTAGAAATATCTAATTACTAAAATATATTAGTATATTTTATATAAAAAGAGTAATAATAATCTATAGGATCTATTCTAGAATAACTTTAAAAACTTTAATACTATAATATATAATCTAATTAATTATATATTTATATAAAATCTTCGAATCTAAATTTATTATAATAATATCTATATTAAATAGAATTATAGAAATCTTACTATTATATAATTCTTTATTAATCTTACCCGAAAGAAAATAAAAAATATAAAAAATAAAGCTAATATTATTAATAATAGTTTAATTAAAATAGATCTTTTTTAGAGACCTATTATATTAGTTTATTTTATTCTAGATAGAATTAGATATAAAAGAACTAGATACTTTTAGTTAAGAAATTAAGCTATTTATTTATCTTTTCTAAATTAGGGCTATTTATTACTTTTATTTTTATTATTATTAGTATTACTACCGAATTCGAACTTTTATTAATTAATACTTACTATTACTATTAGAAAGCTTATTAGAGAAATAATAAAAATATATTCTAAAATATAGAAATATAATAGAACTAATAGTAGTTTTAATTATAAACTTACTATTTTTCTAAATATCTACTAATATATAAAGCTTCTAAAAGAGGTATTAGTAAGAGCTTTTCCTATTATATTAAAGGAACTAGTATAAGACTACTTTTATAATAACTAGTATAAATAATAAATAGAGTAAAGTAGAGTAATAGCCCTTACTTATATTCTATTCATTAAATATTTCCACTACTTATATTCTACTTATATTCTAATTAAGGTATTCATGAATATTCATGAATACTTTGAGTAGTGTATACGTAACGCGCACATGTGCCCAGCTAGCTATATTTGGTAAAGCTCCGGGCACTCTCGCTCTAGCGCTACTTCGCCACCCAATCAGGTAGTGGCGGCGCTTGGTAAGCGAACCAAACCTCAATAATACTTCTAAAATTACCTCGACTTGAGAACTTAATATTAATAGTAAAGGGAAAAAGAAGAAAACCCAAGATTCTGAGGAGGATAATTAGTTTATTATTATAGAAAATCTTTATTTAAGTAGCCTTATATAGGTACTAGCTTAGCTTATATAAGGATACTTAATAGGAATATTAGTTCTTTCTTTTTAAATAAATATATATTAATTTATTAAGATCACGTGACTTTCAAGTGCCTATTTATAAATATTCATGAATATATATTCTACTTTATTCAAATTTTTGGAGTTTTATACTACTTATATTCTATTTAAGACTACTTATAAATATTTATAAGTAGTATAAATACCTTAAGTATTTCTTACTTATACTAATAATAACTAGCTCTCGAGCTATATATATAAAGAGGCCTATATAAATATTTATAGCTTTTTTAAAGGCCCCGGTTTCTATTATTAAAATTTAGATAAATAGAATACTATTATCTTAATAACTATAATAGTAAAAGATTCTAAAAAAATAATATTTAAGCTTATCTAAATACTAATTAATAATCTATATAAATTGTAATATAGCTTTATTTTTATTTTATAAAATACCGAATTCTTATATAATAAGATTATTATTTCCTATTAAGGCTTACTAATATACTAATATATAGTTTCGGACTCTCCTAATAAACTCGGCTAGCTTATTAATAAGCTTTAATTATTTATTACTATTTATAAGAAAAAATAATAAATTAATATTAAAACTTATTTTATTAATTAATAATACCGTTTTTAAAACCCTTTAAGCTATTATTCGTCTAGAAATTATTAATATAGACCTAGCTATAACTTTAGAACCCGTAATAATTATTTCAAGTCCTATAATTATAATAATTATAATTTGAAATCATATTTTATATATAAGAAACCCGAATACTGCTTATAAAAACATATACTAGAGAAATAAGAAAC